GGGGGGGGGGGGGCAAACCCTCCCTCCTTCGCACGGTCATTACCGCTACCCAGGAATAAGGGCTCGAGTCGGCTTCAGGCCCGCTTCGGCTCTAGGTCCGTTTCAGTCTCAGCCCGCTTCGGTTGGGACACATCGAGCCGAAGCCGAAACGAGCCGCGCCGAAACGTGCCGAAGCCGAAAGAGGCAGGTGAAGCCGAAACGGGCCGAAGCCGAAAATGGCGCCCTCCCCCCCAGGGGGGAGGGGGGGCCTTGGCCTGGGTTTAACGACCGTGACGCACCAGAGGTCACTGCACCGACCTTGCAGACGTGCTGCGGCGGATTTCTGCATGGATTCCTGTCAATGCAATAGCCCCGAAACGGCGAGCGAAAAACGAGGTGAATCTCACGTGATCTTCATTCCTGGCCACACAAACTTCGCAAGAAATTATCTTCGAAATCCGGAACGGCATTCTCCAGGACAGAGCGGGTCCATCCCCTTGTTTTCCGAACGAAATCCGCTCTGCGATGTTGGCGCCATGACCAGAGGATGAAAAACAGTCTCCGTGGGGGGGGCATTTCCCCGCCCTGGTTGGCTACACGCAAAGAGTGGCCCCTGGGTAAGAGTGACCTTTGGTGCGCGGCTTTGGGGGGCCGCGGGGCGGCCAAACACAAGCGCGCAAGACGCCACTGCCGCCTCGAGGTCAGCGATCGGGGGACCCTATGGGCCCGCACCAAATCGGCAAAGAGTCACTCCTACACCCACGTAGTCGACCCGGGACCGTCAAGAGACGACCCCCGGGACGAATGGCCGGTCCACGGGAGAAGGTCGAGAGAAACAGACAGAGCTGCGCCGTCGGAAGGGGGCGCCTCGGCGGCGCCCTGAGCGATCTCGGCGTCGCCTTTTTCTCCCACGTGGGAGAGGGATCGACGAGCGCGAGACCGACATCCAGCGTCTTTGGAGGCATGGAAAGGGGCACCAACACCAACACAGGGGGTTGCCTCCAGGGGAAGATGATCCTAGATTTCGGCGTTGGTGGAAATATTTGGGTCACCTTGGGGGCCAGAACATTACCACCATCACAAAGATCGGGATATTCCTCCCTCGGAGGAAGCACACCGCCGATATTTCTGTTGGTGTCAACCTCTAGGCCTGCGACGTCTCTAAAAAATATGACCAGAGACCAAGCGACATCACCCCACCTACGGCCCCACGGGGCGTAGCGTATACCAGCACATCAGGCCAGGGGGGGTTTGGCGTCGTGCACGCTGCGGCCCCCGATGGGACGCAGCGCAACATGGACGGCACTAGGTGGGGTGGTGTCGTATGTTTTACCCAACCATCTCTTGGTGCTGGATCCTCGTTCTGAATAGACGGTCCCCACGTTCGTGTCGTATGTTTTACCCAACCATCTCTTGGTGCTGGGCCCTCGTTCTGAATAGACGGTCCCCACGCTCCCTCCTTCCTTCCTCCCCCTCCCCCTTCCTCTTTCATCCCTGCGCTTCACCCACCCAGTGCAGCGCTTCGTGGCCCCATGGGGAGCTCCACCGAAGCCCCCAGTGAGACCGCCCGCATGCGTCCCGGAAACCCAATTTGGCATTCCCACCCACCCAATACAACGCTTCGTGGCCCCATCGGGAGCTCCACTGAAGCCCCCAGTGGGACCGCCCGCATGCGTCCTGGAAACCCAATTTGGCATTTTCACCCACACAACACAGCGCTTCGTGCCCCCAAAGGGAGCTCCACCGAAGCCCCCAGTTGGACCGCCCGCAACCGCCCCAGGAGCCCAATTTGGCATTTTTACCCACCCGGTACAACGCTCTGTGGCCCCATAAGGAGCTCCACCGAAGCGACCGCCCGCATGCGTCCTGGAAACTCATTTGGGCATTTTCACCCACTCAGTACAGCGTTTTCGTGGCCCCATAGGGAGTTCCACCGAAGCCCCCAGTGGGACTGCCCGCATGCGTCCCAGAAACCCAACCGCCCGCATGCGTCCTGGAAAACCCATTTGGCATGTTCACCCACCCACTATAGCGCTTCGTGGCCCCATAAGGAGCTCCACCGAAGCCCCAAATGGGACCGCCCGCATGCGACCCGGAAACCCAATTTGGCAGTTTCACCCACCCAATACAACGCTTCGTTGCCCCCCGTGGGACCGCCCGCATGCGTCCCAGAAACCCAATTTGGCATTTTCACCCACCTAGTACAAAGCTTCGTGGCCCCATAGGGAGCTCCACAGAAGCCCCCAGCGGGACTGCCCGCATGCGTCCTGGAAACCAAATTTGGCATAGTACAACGCTTCGTGCCCCCAAAGGGAGCTCCACCGAAGCCCCCAGTAGGACCGCCCGCATGCGCCCCGCCAGTGGGACCGTCCGCATGCGTCCCAGAAACCAAATTTGGCACACCCCTTACGCTTCGTGGCCCCTTAGGGAGCTCCACCGACGCCCCCAGTGGGTTCGCCAGCATGCGTCCCGGAAACCCAACCCAATTTGGCATTTTCACCGACCCAGTACAGCGTTTTGTGGTCCCATAAGGGAGCTCCACCGACGGCCCCAGTGCTACCGCCCGCATGCGTCCCCCACACCCAGTACGGCGTTTCGTGGCCCCGTAGGGAGCTCCCTCGACGACCCTAATGCTACCGCCCGCATACATCTCCCCTATCCATTAGAGCGCTTCGTGACCCCATCAGGAGTTCCACCGAAGGCCCCGGTGCTACCGCCCGCATGCGTCCCCCCCACCCTTTACATAGTGGTTCCATAGGGAGCTCCACCGACGGCCCCACTGCTACCGCCCTCATGCGTTCTCCCCCACCCAGTGCAGCGCTTCGTGGCCCCATAGGAAGCTTCACCGAAAGAAAGATTCACAATTGCGGTACCCACAACTGCATATGGTTGGGCCCTTCGCCAGGAAAATGTTGGCCCACAAATCGAGACGGAGACCAGACACAGAGTCCACCTGAGCCGCCGCGACGTCACCCCGAGCGGCCCGAGCCCTGGCGCGCACAGGCCCCACGGGCGACAAGAGGTCGGAGCTTGTTCACACAGGGGCCTTCGCGCAGCGTCGGGCCCTAGGACCATCACGGATCGATCCGGCTCGGAAGCCGCAGAAAGATCCAAAAATTCGAAAATACGAATTTTTCAATCCGGCGTTTTTCCCTCGATATCGGCCTCCGGGGTCCGTTATCGGGCCCTGGGACCATCAAAAAAAGATCCAGGACGAAAAACCACCCCTGAGGAAGGGGTCGGGACCTCTGGGGATTGGATCCGGGGTTCTGGTCGTGATATTTCACGATATCGCAATTTCTTCGCGTCGTCGGATTTCAAGGGAGATGCACGCGCCCAGCCACGTGCACGCGCACGGCCCCCCCGGCCCGCGAGGCCAGCCTGGTGCTGCGAGCGCGCGCACAACGCAGGCTCTCGGAGCCCACTGAAGTTCATGCACACGTACGTCTGTCTGCTCGCTCCTTCCCCCTGACATCCCTCGCACAAAAGAACAAAAAAAACGCCACAAACATAAGCTTTTGACGCTCCGCGCGGATCTCTCGGATCTGCGCCGAACCCCCTCCCTCCTCCCTGGCGTTCACTCTCACTTTCATCGCCTTGGTGGAAGTCGGGTGCATCGTGGCGATGCCCCTCCGTGTGGCATGGCCGCGCCCGGAGCACGACGGCACCGCGGCACGGCGGTCGCAGGCCTTCGAAGCAATTCGACCCTGGAAGACCATGTTTTGCAGCAAGAAGCTCCCAAAGAGCCCCAAATGGAACCAACAGGACCCCTTTTGAGCCGGGCTCTGGGCTTCTCAAATGGACGCACGGCACCAAGACGCTTCAACGACAACGCCCCCTGGAAGAGAAGCATCCAGGTCTCCCAAGGCGTCGGCGGCGCGAAGTAAGCCAATGAAACTCCCTTCACTCCCCACACGCCTCCCACTACACCTTCCCTTCTTCCAATACTCCTCCTCTCCCTCCCCCTCCTGTCCTTCTCCGCCTCCTCCTCCTCCTCCTCCTCCTCCTCCTCCTCCTCCTCCTCCTCCTCACCCTCCTCCGCAATCTCCCTACGCCTCCTCTCCCTGTTCCTAGCTTCCTGCTCCTCGACTGGACCCGACGTCGACGGCAACGATGACGGCGACCTCTCTGGCGGCAGCGACGAGCATGGTGACGACTTTGGCAACGGCGACGACGACGACGCCGCTGCCGCCGACGACGACGACGACGACGCCGCCAGCTGCGACTCCGGCGGCGACGGCGACGACGACAACCCGCCGAACTTGAGGCGGCGGCGGGCGGGAGCAGCCTGCACGCCCTGCGGCCGGCAGACGTGCCGCTGGCCCCTCTGGGGCTCCTCTCGCCGCGGCCGCCAGCAGGAACGGCGGCGGCAGCGGCGACGGCCAGCGAAGACGCCAGGGTGCGCTACACCAAACGAGACGTGGCCACAGGAGCGTGGGTCGAGAGCGCGAGACACTTCCCCCCGAAGGTCTACGGCCCCGTGGAGATGCCCAGCAACAAGAACAGGAGGGTACCCCGAGGGTGGGAAGCCAAAGCACCAAGAGCATACAGTAGGGGCCGGACCACAAGAAACCTTCCACAAGAAACCCAACCCTGAGACCCCAGGACGTCCATAGACTGGTGATGTAGGATTTTCACGCTTTCAACCGCAAAACCAGCGAAATCCAAGAAACCCAGGGCACCCTGGTGGCAAGCAGGGCGTTTCTTGGCATGGGTCTCCGATGTAAGGGTGCCCCTCCAAAGCTGGGGTTGTTCTCAACCCTCGCGCCAGCTGTAGCCGTCTGAAGCCTCTCTGGCAGTCGAGGGGCATTGTGCACCGTTTCTGGGCCGTTTCGCGCGTGTCTGAGAGTTTTCTTGCACCCCACCTGGGCCATCTTGGGGGTACTTTCGTGGGCCTGCGGGGGGGGGCAGGCGCCTCTGGGGGCCTCTTGAAGCTTCCTGGTGCGTTCAGGAACATCGTGGGCCTTCCTGAAACACTTTTGGACCGTCTGGGGCATCTCCAGAGACTCTCCTGAACCATTTTATTCTCGCAAGCAGTGCACTGCGGAATTGAACTCAGATCGCGGTCCATTAGAAAATACAACAAAGCTCCAACGGTTCAGATGGAAGTCGAATATGGTGGCGCCCGCGCAAGGGCGCAAGGTACAAGTGCCATGACTGAAGAGAACCTGTAGAACTTGATGTGTCTCGCAGCTATGATCTTGTCCACTCTGGTCCGTTGTAACGGAGGAGAACATTACAGTGCTGTCGACTTGGACTTGCCACCGTCATGCTTCCATGCGCAAGAAAATGTCTCCCAAAGAGACGTGAATCCACTACCGTGCCGCAAGGCACTGACAATGGAGCGTCATCGGGTCCCTTCGAATTCTCCCAGGAGCGCAGTGCCCAAGAGCGCCCAGGAATCGGGGCCGCGGGCTTCACGCGTGACTTCTGGAGGCCTCGGCGGCGTGGTTGGGACTACAAGCTTCCAAGTACGATGTGTACCTCAGAAGGAATATTAGGACGAGGGCACGAGTGTTAGGTCGGGCCTGTCCCCCTACAGGCGGATTTTGGATGTAAAATCTAAAAATAATCCAAAGATAATCATACATTCCCCAAAAAACAAAACAAAAAACAACAAATCGTTCCCAGGCTATGTATTACTTGTTACAAAATATCCCCCCTGTAGAAGGACAGGCCCGACTTAATACGAGTGAGGAGGAGCTCATTTGGACGATCTGCAAAGTGGCACATGCACCATGTACGCAGTACAAAACGGGTGATTCCAGACTCCAACACTACCAAGGAATAATCTGCCATGAATCACCAGATTCTGCTCGACAAAACGTTGAGCCTGCCTGCGGGCTGGAGTGCAACTACAGCTTCGAGCGCAGCTGTCGTCACTCTCTGGTGTGCTTGGTGTTCAGCGCGTCCCAAGAGCACCCGATACGCAAAAGGACCGACGGCAACATCATTAGCCAGGGAAGCCGCCGTGTCCTGTGGCGCGCCAATCTCTCATGAACCCGGACTTTTCGAGCAGCACCGAGGCACCGAACCCCTTCTGGTAGAGCTCCCTCGTCCTGGCCTGGCACCCGCGCACGTCTCTGCTGATGTTCTTGTAGACCGACTCGAGGTTCTCGGAGTCTGCAAAGTGCACAACACCCTCGAACATTGCCTCGTCCTTTGGATGCCATCTCTGTGAAACTACACAAGCACCATTTGTCGCAAGCTGGGAGATGCGGAATGACTCAAGCGGACTCAAAGGGTCCATGACCCGGTGGAAATATATCTGCACGGGAGCATGACTAATGACTGCGCGCAACCCATGCAAGGAATCAGCCATGAATGAAATCATGTAGGTTCTGATCGTGCTCCATCTAATCCATTCTCTGGGAAGTGGCCGATTCCCTAAAAACCCGACGGTGCCATCATAGTTGAGCGTAAGGCTTAAATCCACCGCAACGTCTTGAGGCTCAGCAGCGCTGGGTGGTACGTAGCGCATCTTGATACTCATATTGCGTTCGCGGCAATACCCCAAGTTTGCGAGAGAGTAGTCCCAGAACTCATCCGCATTAAACTTCGCCAAGCCCTTCACCAAAGACTTGTAAAATTTCTCACCGCCCTAAATGAAAGGCACTGAATTGCACATTATCATGTAAGCACCGCTCTAACCAGCGTTCTTCAGAAAATCGTTAAGTCCCTTGTTCTTCAACTCGATCCAATTCACCGCAATCAAAATGGGTGTTCTACCCATTTTCTTCACCAGGCTGAAGTTCTTCAGCATCTCATCAAAATGATCCTTCTGGTCTACCGTCAGCACCACGTCTGCCCCAAGGCGCGAGAAAACCGCTGCAAAAGACCAGATAGGCGGCACGTAGCGGAACAAGTGACGATCAGTCCCAGGTACCATGCCAAATGCACCCATACGTCCGGAATACCAGAACGCTGGTACGGCCATCAGGTTGTAGGAGCATGCGTGGCAAAACAAAAACATTTCGTCCTTCGCTGATGGATTCACTCCTCGTTTTTCCATAAGTGGCTCAAAAAGAGCGTGTCTTGGTTCTGTGACTATCCTCGATGTCGTAGCGGTTTCTGCCGTCGAAACTGGGAGGGAAGCCTTCGCAACTGAAGATTGGATGGAAGATGTCGACGGTTGTAGCATTGAAACTGGACGGGAAGACGTCGAAACTCTGGATGGGGCGGAAGACGTCGCCAGCTGCGCTGTTAAGGCCAAAAGGGAAGACGTCGCAACTGATAACGGTGCGGAGGACACCGCCGGGCGTGCCAATGACGTCACGGAGGACCTGCAGAGAGCCGCAGCTGGACGGGAAGATACTTTCCCCGAGCTTGGCAGTTCATCGGCAGGCCATCAAGGCTGCGACGGACAGCGCAACGGGAAAGAACACGGTGATGGCAGCCAAGTGTTTCCAATATTCGCCCATCCGCGCCGACAAGCAAACAATAAGAGTTCACATCTTTAGGACGGATCTAAGTTTCCACGGCGCAGCGCTTGGCTTCCGCAGTAGCTTGAGCCAAAATGGCTCAAGCCTGATTACGGGGAGAATCTCTTGAACCTTGGGGGGGTTCTCGTGGGTCCTCTTGGCCCGTCTTGGGGCATTATTCGGGCGTTGTTGGGCCGTCTTGGGGATCTCTGAGCGCTCCCGGCGCAATGCTAAGCAGAACATCCTCTGAGTGAACAGCCTTTGTAAAATTCCATGTCTACCATATGACTGATTTCGCAAGGCCTCTGAGGGACCTCTTGGAGCACCTTAAACCAAATCCCACCAGGCCTTTGGGTCTAGATGATGTAAGAAAAATGTACATCATTCCTCGTCGAAAAAGCGCCCCCTCCCCACTCAAACGGTTGCCAACCATGAACCATGCGGACCCCTCCAATCAACCCTGTGAAACTATAAAAAATGCACGTGGCAGCTCAATTTGAATCGTGAGCGCAAGAAATTCGCACTGGCTGGTGACATGGATGGCGAGGGGGAATCACATCTGCCCGCTCTTCGCTGTCCCGCTAGCCTCGTTGCCCAACACGACTTCACTGCGGGTACAAGCACAATACACCATGCTGACCATCCCGCCGCCATTTTGCAACAGCTTTGACACGGATGGTCGGGGGATCGGCATATTGCCCGACGCGTGCACCTGGTGCAAACACACGGCGCAGGGAGGTACCAAGGCGGCCTCCAAAGGCGTGGGGCGGGCCAAATGCGCCCGACGACGGCCCAAGATTGCCCAAAGAGGCCCGAGGCGGCCACCAATAGGCCGCTGACAGGCTCCCGAGAGACCCCCGGGAGACCACCAGGAGGGCTCAAGAGGGTTCCGTTCCTCCTCGTCCTCCTCATCATCATCACCATCCTCCACCTCCTCCTCATCATCCTCATCATCAACACCATCTCAGCATCATCATCACCATCATCAGCATCAGCATCATCCACATCATCAGTATCATCATCAGCAGCATCAGCATCATCCTCCTCATCATCATCCGCATCACCATCAGCATCATCATCGTCACCACCATCATCGTCATCGTCCTCAGAAGCATCCTCAACATCGTCAGCTGCATCAGCATCAGCAGCAGCAGAATCACCATCCTCATCAGCATCATCAGCAACAGTGTCATCATCAATATGTACATCACCACCACCGTCACCTCACCATCATCACCATCACCACCATCACCATCATCATCAGCACCGTCATCACCATCACCATACTCATCATCATAATCATCATCACTCCTCCTCCTCCTCCTCCTCCTCTTCCTCCTCCTCCTCCCGTTGAACCAGTTGAACGCAACATAGGACCGCCCGCATGGTCGCAAGAGGCCGAGCAAAAAAAAAAAAAAAAGAGAGATGACGTTATCTCCCTTGCCGCACCTGGACACTGCGGCCGAACACAGCACGGGAACTGGGGTCCTCGCCATCAGCATGGCGAAGGACTTCTCAGCCAACGAACTACGCGGGCGCTCGGGACACAGGTTCTTCAGGCACTGGCTTCGTGCAGCCCCGACCGCCGCGCATCTCCGACACCCCACGGTCCCAGACGGTCCCGAGCCCATCCAAAGGACATGGGAGTGATGTGCAGTCGCGGCAATTACGGGGATGCCTGGGCAGGGGAAGGCGGCAAGTGCTCCTCTGGATCTCGCCGTTCCCCCGCACCCGAAACAAAACTCTTCCCCTCTCTACAGATCGTGGGTCCGCTGGGGTTAGCAACTAATTGGAGCTGAGGGGTGTTCCCGACGGGACTCGAAGACTTGGGGGCTCTACACCTCTCTATATCCTTGAGATCCTGACGGGAAATCTCGCCCAACATCAGCCCGAGAAACTGTCCTACCTGCGCTATACCTTTGCATGCCGTCTTGTACCAGCTGCGCTCAGCCTCTGGCTGGGCCTGGAGCTGGGTCCCTTCTCTCGCCAAGCGGTCGGCTTCTCGGTTGCCCCGCCAGGCGTAGAAGGGATAGTCTAGTGCAAGTGCCTGACTCCACGACAGGTGAGACTTTATCTTGCAAATGCGGATATGATCCGAACCTACTCCTCCCCTCCCCCTCCCCCTCCCCCTCCTCCTCCTCCTCCTCCTCCTCCTCCTCCTCCTCCTCCTCCTCCTCCTCCTCCTCCTCCTCCTCCTCCTCCTCCTCCTCCATTCCTTCTTCTTATAGATAACTCCTCCCTGTCGCACCCCGTGGCCAGTTATTAGGGCGTGCCGGGCGTTTCGCCTGAGACTTCCTCGCCACTTATGACCTGAAGCTTAAAAAGTGACACCAGTTTCACATATGGAGGGCGGGTCGTTTTCAATATGTGGCTCTCGCCTTAGCGCCGCGCACATTCGTTTTCAAAATTTGCAAGAGTTGCACGGATTGAGGGCGGGTCGTTTTCAAAACGTGGCTCTCGCCTTGGCGCCGCGCACACTCATTGACAAAATGGGGAAGAGCTTCACGGAGTGAGGGCGGGTCCTTTTCAAAAGGTGGCTCTCGCCTAAGCGCCGCGCACATTCGTTTTAAACATTGCAAGAGTTACACGGATTGAGGGCGGGGGTTTTCAAAATGTGGCTCTCGCCTTAGCGCCGCGCACATTCGTTTCAAAGATTTTCAAGAGTTTCACGGATTGAGGGCGCGTGGTCTTCAAAATGTGGCTCTCGCCTTAGCGCCTCACACATACGTCTTAAACATTTGCAAAAGCTTCACGGATTGAGGGCGGGTCAATTTCAAAACGTGGCTCTCGCCTTAGCGCCGCGCGCATTCGTTCTTAAAACCTGCAAAAAGTTACACGGATTGAGGGCAGTCCCTCTTCAAAATGTGGCTCTCGCCTTAGCGCCGCGCACATTCGTTCCAAAAATGTGCAAAAGTTTCACGAATGTCCATGGTCAACGTACCAAAATCGGTGTTTGGAAGGATTCAGGATTACGCGGGTGCAACAGTTATGCTGATTAGCGGTGAAATCAAAAATGGCGTTACGGCACGACTCCGGATCTCCAAAACGCAGTAGTCAGATTAACACGCGGCGTTGAAATCCCGAGAACCATGTTTTGGCATGCTTCAGGATCTTCAAACGGTTGTCTTCCAACGAGGCAGTTCCCTCAATGGACATGAACCGTTGTAGGGGCCTATGAAGAGGGAGCTTGGAGGGAGGGTTGATTATCTTGCACAGTTCTGCTCTAGAGCTCGGACCTCTTTATTTTCGCTCGTCGTCGTCCCCCTGGTCCGGCCCTGGCCCTGGACCCAACCTCCCCCCCTGGTCCTAGCCCCAGCCCCCCTCGCCCCGCTGGCCCTGGCCCTGGACCCAGCCTCCCCCCCCGGCCCTGGCCCCAGCCCCCCTCGCCCTGGTTTCTTTTATTTTCGTTCGTCGTCGTCCCCCTGGTCCGGCCCTGGCCCTGGACCCAACCTCCCCCCCTGGTCCTGGCCCCAGCCACCCTCGCCCCGCTGGCCCTGGCCCTGGACCCAGCCTCCCCCCCCGGCCCTGGCCCCAGTCCCCCTCGCCCTGAGCCTTTATTTTCGCTCGCCGTCGTCCCTGGTCCAGGGCCCTCTGGCCCTGGACCCAACCTCCCCCCCTGGTCCTGGCCCCAGCCCCCCTCGCCGCTGGCCCTGGCCCTGGACCCAGCCTCCCCCCCCGGCGCCTGGCCCCCAGCCCCTCGCCCTGGACCCATTATTTTCGTTGTCGTCCCTGGTCCGGCCCTGGCCCTGGACCCAACCTCCCCCCCTGGTCCTGGACCAGCCTCCCTTGCCCCGCTGGCCCTGGCCCTGGACCCAGCCTCCCCCCCCTGGCCCTGGCACTGGCCCCCTCGCCCTGGACCCTGAATTTTCGTTCGTCGTCGTCCCTGGTCCGGTCCTGGCCCTGGACCCAACCTCCCAACCTCCCCTCCTGGTCCTGGCCCCAGCCCCCCTCGCCCCGCTGGCCCTGGCCCTGGACCCAGCCTCTCCCCCCCGGCCCTGGCCCCTCCCACTCGCCATGGATCCTTTATTTTCGCTCGTCGTCGTCCCTGGTCTGGTCCCGGCCCTGGACCCAACCTCCACCCCTGGTCATGGACCAGCCCCCCTCGCCCCGCTGGCCCTGGCCCTGGACCCAGCCTCCCCCCCCGGCCCTGGGCCCGTCCCCCTCGCCCTGGTTCCTTTTATTTTCGCTCGTCGTCGTCCCTGGTCCGGTCCTGGCCCTGGACCCGACCTCCCCCCTGGTCCTGGCCCCAGCCCCCCTCGCCCCGCTGGCCCTGGCCCTGGACCCAGCCTCCCCCCCCGGCCCTGGCCCCAGCCCCCCTCGCCCTGGTTTCTTTATTTTAGTTCGTCGTCGTCCCCCTGGTCCGGCCCTGGCCCTGGACCCAACCTCCCCCCCTGGTCCTGGCCCCAGCCCCCCTCGCCCCGCTGGCCCTGGCCCTGGACCCAGCCTCCCCCCCCCGGCCCTGGCCCCAGTCCCCCTCGCCCTGGAACTTTTATTCTCTTGCACAGCTGTGTTCTAGAGGTCGGACCCATTATTTTCGTTCGTCGTCGTCGTTCGTTCGTTCGTCGTTCGTCTTCCCCCCCGGCCACAGAAGGAAATTCCAGGAGGAAGGAAGCGAACGCCTCCTGTCCCTCGCAGCTCCTTGGTGCAAGAGCCAGGGCACGCGTGCCACTTGTTCCAACATCATTGATGACTCTTGCGTTTACACTGGTCCTCCTCCTCCTCCTCCTCCTCCTCCTAATCCTCTTCCTCCTCGTCCCCCCCTCCTCCCTGGGGAGGGCGGGCGCCAGGGCGGCGAGCGAGTTCCACTACTCGCAAAGTGCCTCTTCGCGGACGCACGATAGCACACATGTTTGCCTCGACGTCATGGGTCGTGAATCCCCCGTGGCGGATCCAGGCCACTTGGGAGAGGTTGCTCTGCGAATATTGCAGCTCGCTGGTCTAGTATAGGAACCAGGAGTCGGCGGCGAGCGAGGGGCGGAAGTGAGAAGGGGAAGGCCTTCCGAGAAGGCGGTGGGACTCCTCAGAAGCCCCCTGGCCTTCCAGAAGGTTTCCTGCGTCTTCGGGGAAGGCCTAGAGAACTTCTCCAAACGCCAGGGGACGTCCGAGCCTTCTGAGAAGGCCCACCCTTCTCACTTCCC